TATCCTTTAGTAGAACAAAACAGACATTACTTTATGTATATACGTGACTGCATGCCCAGTGTGATTCTACAACATGCACACTCAGAAAAATGAGAAATTATATCTCATCTATGTATATCAAAGTGCACAAATGCATTCTACTGTCATGTATAACTAATTAAAACAAATAAAAATGTTAAATTAAAAAAAGCTATATCCTCATCTCTGATATGAAGAAGTCAATAGAAAATATCAAATATTGATAAACTGGGAAATAGCAGTATATCACAATACTACAAATTAAAATTAAAATGATGCAGAGGTATTATTTCCCATTTTTTATGCCAGCACAAACTCAAAGTCTAAAGGCATACTTCCCAAACTAGTATCACTCATCATACTTCAGTACAAACTGGTATCACTCATCACGAAGGAAGAATATTTTGATAGTTATCTATCAAAATCATAAAGGTGTGCATTCATGTTCTAGATTTCCAGGCAATTATATAAGATTAATCACCTTATGTGGCTTGTAAAAGCCAATGACTAGAATCTGGGTAGATAGTTGTTAGGAACATAAAGAAGCTTTTTCAATGTGTTCCTTTTCAAACTTCTTTTCTTAACCATGTAAATACATTTATTATTTAAAAAGAGAGATAACAAACAGCTGTCTAAGCATATGGTTTGGAATGAAGACACACTCAATAATGAACAGCTGAAAGGATCACAACTGAGTGCCCTTAGGAAGCCTCAGTGTGGCTGGAGGAGCAGCAGATAACAAAGAACTGCTTTTATCATAAGCCTTTTGTTACAGTTTGCTTACCTAGTAAATATATATCATTGTGTTTACAAATTTTAAGAATAATGAGAAGAGCCAGGCACAGTGGTATACATCTGTGATCCCAACAACTTGGGAGACTGAGACAGGAGGATCACAAGTTTGAGGACAGTCTCAGCAATTTAGCAAGGCCATAAACAACTTGGTGAGACCCTGTCTCAAAATAAAGAGTAAAAATGTTCAGTGGTAAAGAGCCCCTGGGTTAGATTTCTAGAACCAAAAAAAAAAGAGTAATGGGAAGAAAAAAAAAAGAACACAACAACAAAAAACCACATTGACACAAATAGAATAAAAAAAGAAAAAATGACAAAAGAAAAACCACTAATTTGAGGCCAAAATTATCAAATAATGAAAGGATACTATTTCAACATCCTCACTGTACAATACTTGGGAATGGCTAGTGGCTACAAAAATTACAGGTGTATGAAATCAATGAAGGAGAAATTTTATTGATAGCTTTCACAAGTAGTAATAAAACTTTGTGGTTATCAGATTTTTAAATATTTAAAATAATATAGCTGGGCATGGTGGCATATACCTGTAATTTCAATGGCTCAAGAGGGTGAGGCAGGAGGATAGCAAGTTCAAGGCCAGCCTAAGGCTAGCTAGGGCAACTTAGGGAGACCCTGTCTCAAAACAAAAAATAAGAAGTGCTGGGTAGGTAACTCCAAAGGGATTCAATCCCAGCACTGAAAAAACACAAAACAAAAAACAACAACAAAACCATAATCACCACCAAAAAACCTGCAATAATACAAAGAATTAATGTATAATTAATACATTTAGGAAAAAAGTTTTTTCTCTACTAAATTCTGCAGTAGTCAATTATTAAATATTGACCATGTACATACAGCACTGAAAATAGAGTCAGTCTCCCATGTCTGTGGATTCCACATTCATGGATTCAACCAATTGTGGATGAAAAATATCTGGGAAAAAAACTATGCCTGTAACTGAACATGTACAAATTTTCTTCTTATCATTATTCCCTAGATAATATAGCAAAACAACAATTTATCTAGAATTTACATTGTATTAGAAATCATGTAAGGTTTGCAAGAGGATGTGCATAGCTTACATGTAGATACTAAGTCATTTCATATGAGTTTTGAGCATCCTCAGATCTTGATATCTGCAGGGACCCTGGAACAAATCTATGGATACTGATGGATGTCTGTGTTAGATAGCTGGCTCTCTCCAGGAACCTAGCTGGAAACAAGGAAAATATCAGACTTGAACATCCAATGGTTAAAAGAAGAACATATAAAAGAATATGCCACTGGGTCTGAGACTGTGAGATATAAATAGAAAGCTTTGAAAGGGGGGGGTCAAGTGGAAGGCTTAATAAAAGGTTTCATATAGATTTGAACTTCAAAAAAAAAAAAAAATCTTAAAGGGCAAAACCAATCAGGAACCAGAGCATGGGATAATCAAAGGATTGAACCCAGGACCTTATGGATGAACTCCACCACAGAGCCACACCCTAGCCACTGATTTTTTTGTTTACTTTAAGCTATTTTAAATTTATTAACACTTAAATTATTATTTTTACTTGCTTGCACATGCAATGTAAATGCCCTACCACTGAGCTACCTCCTTAGCATTTTAAATTATTTAAATTGTACAAATTTATAGGGTACAGTATGATATTTCAACACACACACACACACACACACACACACAAACACACACACACAGTATGTACTAAAAAAATGAGGGTAATTTATGTTTCCATCTCTTTATCATTGCTTTGTGTTTGAAGACTTCAAGCTCTTCTCTTCCAGGTATCATAAAGTATATAATTGACTATTGTGAAGTGTAGTCACCTCATTGTTCTGTAGAACTTAGAATTTATTATTTTTATCTAACTGTGTCTGGGTACTTATTCTCCAACTTCCCACTGTCCTCCTCTACCTCCTACTTGCACACTTAAGCCCCACAGAGTTTAGCTGCACTTAAGGTTTGAATTATGGTAAAAATTAGACAGATTGTTAACTTAAGTTTTCAAGCTTAAATTAGATATTATACATAGACTTGTCTCCCTTATTTATTTATGTATTTATTTATTTTTGGTACCAACGATTGAATGCAGGGGTGCTCAACCACTGAACCACATCCCTAGCCCTTTTAATTTTTATTTTTTATTTTAAGACAGGGTCTTGCTAAATTGCTTCGGGCCTCACTAAATTGCTGAGGCTGGCCTTAAACTTGTGATCCTTCTGCCTCAGCCTCCTGGGTTACAGGGATTACAGGCCAGTGTGGCCATGCCCAGTGACTTTTCTCCCTTAAATGTCACTTATCTGTCATTTTTGGATAAAAAGCCAGAATTACCCTAGTTGCTGGTGTGGAGGCTAAGCTCCCTGTCTGACTTTTGAGGTCTTTTGTGTCCTGTGGTCTATGGAGCATTGTTCTCTGCTGCCAAGTTCACCCTTCTTTTCAGCTAAGTCTGTTTTCCTGTGGTCCTTCAAGTGCAAGCACAAGTGCATGTACACACAGTGAAATTTGCAGATACTGAGGATGGGGAGAAAGAACTTAATAAAGGCCTATTTCTAAACGAGGGGACTAGAAAAACAAAAGTAAGAATATGAGAAGTTAAAAAGGAAAAGTCTTAAAATTTTCAACACTCTGAATTTGAAGTAGCCCTGGATATTCAAGTACTATCTATCCAAGATATCTATCCATGGATATCTATCCATGGCCAAGAAAACACATGGGAGTAGAGTTTAATATGAGGATAGAAAAATAAAGACATTAGGGCTATCAAAATAGAAAGGTAGTTGAAGCCTTTTAAATATATATTATCTCTTTATTCAAATATCTACACACAGTATGCATTCTCAAGAGGGGCAATATCACCCCCAAAGGGATGAGAATTTGTTCTTAACACATTACACTTGGTTTTTAGTCCTCTAAAGCAATTCTACTTGGCAAAATCTTATTCCTTAGTACTTAATTTCTGTTGGAGAGAAATTTAATTCAATTTGTCTCCTTAGGAAGAAATGGTTGTGAATCATTGACAAATAGTGATGGGGTGTATAGTGATCAAAATACAAATAGGCAGCGGGGTGCCATGGTGCACACCTGTAATCCCAGTGGCTTGGGAGGCTGAGACAGGAGGGTCATGAGTTCAAAGCCAGCCTCAGCAAAAGTGAGGCACTAAGCAATTCAGAGAGATCCTGTCTCTAAATAAAATAAAAAATAGGGCTGGGGATGTGGCTCAGTGGTCCAGTACCCCTGAGTTCAATCCCCAGTACCAAACAAACAAACAAAAACAAACAGGGGCTGGGGATATAGCTCAGTTGGTAGAATGCACAAGTCCCTGGGTTCAATCCCAGCACCACACAACAACAACAAAAACATACAAACAAACAAACAACAACAACAAAAAGGCAGGCTTGGAGTGTACCTTATGATAGAGCATTTACCCTAGCCATCTGTGAGCTCTGGGTTCAATCTCCAGAACTGTAAAAACAAAACAGCCCTCTGGGATTTCCAAATTCAGAAGAAAGTAAATCTGCAGCAAAAAGAAATATGAAGGAGGCTGGAGGAAACAGGACAACTATGACCTCAAACAAGGCAAAGAATTTCAAGAAAAGGTTAACACTGTAAAACCCATTAATAAAACTGATAACAGTAAATACTCTGGAAGAGAAAAAAAAAGAAAGAAAGAAAAGAAAAAGGAAAAACTCTGAAGGGGACAAACAAGCCAGCATAGTGGCACACACCTATAGGTGTGTCCCAGCTACTTGGGAGGCTGAGGCAGGAGGATCTCTTGAGCCCAAAGTCCAAGTCTAGCCTGGGAAACACAGAGATACCCCATTTCAAAAGTCAAGCCAGGTATGGTGGCACATGCCTGAAATCTCAGTGGCCTGGGAGGCTGAGGCAATAGAGAGGATCTTAAGTCCCAAGGCCAGCCTCAGCAATTTAGTGAGACTTTCAGCAACTTAGAAAGATGCTGTCTCAAAATAAAAGACAAAAAGGATAGGGATGTTGCTCAGTGGTAAAGCACCCCTGGGGTCAATCCCCAGTACCAAAACAAAATAAAAAATTAAAATACTTCCTTATGAAAGTTTTGCTTTATTGCTTCAAGTAAGCAATTTTGGTACCCATGTAAAGCACAGGCCTAGGACATGAAAATACATAATTCTTACCACTCAGAAGTATTTTTCAACCTCCTCTCCAGGTTTAGCTTGAAGAGCCACACTTATCAAGAGAAGAACAACCAGGAATCTGCCACAGACTGAGGCAGGGAAACCCTAAAGAGCCACCACAACAGTATGCTTTTTTTCAGTCATTTTTGTGGTGTCTGTTTTTGACTACAAAATGGTAATTTCACATGACTTAACCTAGTATGTGTCTATTCATCTTCCCAACTAATTAAAAATTCTTTATCAACAGGATGTATTATCTTTTCTGTGATTCATAATAATTCATCTAACTACTGCCCTTGGATACATTTAGTAAGCAACACATTTTTTTCACTACTTTATTTATTTATTTATTTTAGTTTTTGGTACTAGGGATTAAACCCACAGGTATAAACCCCAATCCCTGGTTTATAAAAAAGGAACACGTCTGGGTTCTGAAAAGGATTCAGTGAAGCCACTCACTAGTCTCAATTCTTTTTTTTTTTTAAATATATATATTTTTAAGTGTAGATGGACACAACACAATGCCTTTATTTTTATATGGCACTGAGGATCGAACCCGGGTCCTGCTCGTGCTAGGGGAGTGCTCTACCACTGAGCCACAATCCTAGCCTAGTCTCAATTCTTAATAAAGTTCTTCAACTGCTTAGGATAATTAGAAAATATCCTTTGGTATAAAAAAGAATTAGGAAACAAAGACTCCAATAAACAATGTTCAGGTTTGTAATGTTCTTACCCGCTGAGACTAAGTTCCTGTAATTTTCCACCATCACAACTCTGTACAGCTTCCTCTAAGCAAGATCCAGGTAACTGCACTCTTCCTCAGTGAAACCATACACACATCCATGAATGTTACTGGTTCCTAAAATATTAGGAACCAACAACTACTGCACAAATGCCCTGGAAAAGTGAAATTGGTAGCACTGGAAAAGGTGAGAAGAGTTGAGAAGTTTGCAGATCAGGGATCTGAGCAAACTAAATCAAGTTGTGTTGGAAAACCTTTCCTTTTCCAGCTACTTTGCTACTTCCATTCAAATTTTCCCCTTTTGTCCACTACCCATCCAAGCTCAAGCTATCAGCTATTCCATTTTTCCTTGTCATTGTCATCTCATGGTCATTGCTATGTTGTCTTTTTTTACAAAAATGACAGTAGAATGTATTTATGCACTATGATATATCATACATAGATGGAATATAATTTCTCAAATCCCATTCTCACCATTATCCTGACAACCTCAACACTAGCAACAACTGACCCCACATTCTGACCTTGCATTTGTTAAACTCCATTGAGCCAATGATCTCAGTCTCATTTCATTAAATCACAATAAGTATAATCAAGAATAGTTTACTCTTTGATTCCTTCACACTTCTTTCCATTTCATCCATCACAAACTCTCACCCCTACTCACTCTAGAACATATCTGTGTCTCTCCATCCTGTATTGCTTTTTTTAAAAAAAAAATTTTTTTGTAGTTATAGATGGAAATAATGCCTTTATTTTATTTGTTTATTTTTTATTTTGTGCTGAGGATCGAACCTAGTACCTCACAAATGCTAGGCAAGCACTCTGCAAGTGCTCTGCTGCTGAGCTGCAGCTCTAGGGCCACTGCATTGTTTTTGCTACAGCCTGAGGGGTGGTCGTCTTCCACATGCACCAAACTTTTAATCATTCTATTTCTACTTTCACTCCTGTGAACTTAAAATTTTGCCATACAGCAGCTATTGTGATTTTTGAAAATCACAAACCAGGAATGAGACCTTCCAAGGCTTTTCAGTGAACATCAAATAAAATCCAGACCTTTCATCTTGGCTTGGAAGCTTCTGCAGAGCCAGTACTAAAGCAATGATTAAGGACAGGCAGTTAGTTAGTTAGTGTAGACAGGTGATGGGGAAAATGAAAGCTGAGTTAGGTCTGGGAAGTTGGAGACTGCTTTGGTGGACTGAAATGCTAATGCCTCTAGAGACCTTTCTCCACCCATTACCAAGATTACCAATTTATACTGTTCCTCCCAAAAGGATGTTAACAAGCACCTCCTGAGCAGACAGGGAGCTGTTAATTAATGCCTCCTGGGCTATAGCTCCCTTCCTGCCCAGGATCATTCCATCTTTGGCCCTTCTAGCCCATCTGTTTCTCACCTTTTGGCCATCCCACCGGCACCCCACCACCTCCCAACTAATCAGGTCACTAGTCATGTAGGCAGGATGGGAAAATGAAGGAACAACAGGGTAGAACAAAGAAAATATAAAATGTTTAAAAGGTATAGGACACTCCTACTTTGGATATCAGAATACCAGCTATGGCCCTTTATTCTTCCCGAGAGAAGTTTATTATTATTCTTTAAATAAAACTTGCTTTCTACACTTGCTTCAGTGTTTAATCTTTACTTCTGGGAAATGGAACTTGGGTCACTGGTAATCAACAGTTCAATACCTGTCATTTTCCCAACCTCAGCTGTACACACTCCTTTCTTAATATTATACTTGGTCCCAGCAACCTTGCAGGTTCCTGAACCACATCAAATTCATTCTCAAGGCCTTTGCACTAGCTTCCCTCTTTGTCCCAAATGTGCTTTTTCACACCTTCATCCCAGTTCCTTATCATTTTGATCCCAGCCCACCTACTGTCTCCTCAGAAAAGCATTTCCTTGACCAGCTAATCATTTTCCCAATTAAATTTCTTCATTCTACTTCTATCTTACCTCATTATCTATTCAAGGGCTTTCTTACTTACTGTCTCTTCCCCTAAGATGTAAGTTTCCTGGGACAGAGAGGTTGTCATTCTTTGCTGCATTCCTAAGGCCTCAAACAGGCTGGGACATAAAAGGAATCCAATTACTTATTCATTTAATTTCAGATGATTGTTTCTCTCCAGGGTTCTGTCTGAGAGTACAACACTTTTCAAACTATCTGCTGTGAAGGACCAGGATTCTGTTTTTTAATAAACAATTTACTCTCTATACTTATGTCTGCATGGTTCATGGGCTGGCATTAGTTAAGAAGGCACACTTTGAAAAGCAAAGTGAGGACTGGGAATGTAGCTCAGGCAGTAGCGCGCTCGCCTGGCATGCGTGCGGCCCGGGTTTGATCCTCAGCACCACATACCAACAAAGATGTTGTGTCCGCCGAGAACTAAAAAATAAAATATTAAAAATTCTCTCTCTCCTCTCTCACTCTCTCTTTAAAAAAAAAAGTGATAGAATTTATTAAAAATAATGAGTCAAATGAAACCTAAATTATGGACCAGGAAGTCCACAATACCTTTGAGAAGGCAGCATTACCTCATAAATTTGATTAGCCTAGACAACTTCCAGGCTGAGGAGACACCACTACTCCCTCCTCAGTAATTGAGGACAGCAGGGCCTGCCATGCAGGAAGCATGTGACTTACCCAACTAGTCACCAGTGGACAAAGTAAAAATGAGGAGAGTAGAAGCTTTCTCTCAAGCTCTCCTTTCAATGACTGTGTCTCCACTCTGCTTAAAAGGCTAGGCAACAGAAGCCTGGGCAAAGGCGGGACAAAGAAGAAGTGGAGAATGATGCCTTAGTGCTCCATCACCATAGCCTCTAGTGAAGCAGGGCCCAGTGAATATCAAGCAAGTGGATTCTTTGGGGTAGAGCTCGGGGGATGGGGAGAGCACTTAACCTGGCTTTGCATGAGCCTCTGAATTCAATCCCCTGCACTGGGCTGGGGGCAGTGAGGAGGAGAGGAATCAGTCACTCCTCTCAACCAGACATTTTCTTTCCCACTTTAGAAAGGTTTCTTTCTGCTCAAGCTAATCTCTCTTTGGGTACTCTAGATTGAATCCCTTCCTCTTTCCTCAGATTCAGATCCATCAATTATCTTTTCTTTCAATTTTTATCCCTTTCCACTAGTCACCTGGATTGTTTAAGCGTCCTTCTCTACCTCAACAATATTCAAACCACTTCAGATCTTGTCAGTTCTATCCTTTGAATTTCCTTCCAATGTGTTCTCTCTCCTCCATTACCAATGTCTTAGTAAGGTCATTGTTTTTAAAATAAACCTTAGACCACAATAACTTCTTACCAAATTTTCACAGAACAAGTTTTATTGTCTTTCAGTTCATAGTCAGACTTAGTAGTTTTTAAGATCCTGTAAACAAAGTGGCAGGGGGAAATCCATGCCAAGAATGAAAAGGATATGTGGGTGGATTATTAACTGTAGAAGACTGAAAATTCCAGGGTGAGAAATATTACAAGAGAGGACCAAGTGAGAGGAAGGGGAGGATGGAAGGGGAAAAAAATAATGCTCCTTTTATAGCAAGAGAGAGCTGAGACTAAAAGAATCTAAATAATAAACAGTCTTCCTTGGTATCAGTGGAGTTAATGAATCGCCCCCAAGACTGAACTTCTGCATACAGTGGGAAAGTGTTCTCAATATCCTGCAGGCTGGTCAAAGAGGAAGGTCATAGGACCAGTAGTTTCCTATTTTCACCAAATGTTAAAGTTCTCATTACTCCAGACAGGTTATCCCATGGCTCTCAACTTCCATTCCAGATGCCTCCCAGCTTGATATAACAATTTACTGAGAGGCAGGACACAGTAATGCAGAAGCTGGTAAGTGGCGTAGTCACAGTGGATTACTTGGAACCATCTACACCCAGCATGTTCTAGTCTAGCATAGTTCTTTTCACGTTGCTTCTACCCTGACTTGGATTTCTCACATCCATTTTGGAATTCCTTTATCTCAGGATAATCAGCAAGCCCTTTCTGAAGCAGGCGGATAAGCCAGGTGCTTCTTTCTTTAAGACCTCAGAGCATCTTTCTCATATCTCTGATATAGCTATTAAATCTGTCTCACAAATTGGCTGTAAGATTGTGAAGGACAGAGGTCACACTCAACTAATCTTTAAATCCCCAGCAATTAACACAACCAACTTGGAATCTAAAAGATAGAAGTTTATAAATTCACATTCAATTCTTTTGTTTTTTGGAACCGAGGAATGAACCCAGGATTGCTTTACCTCTGAGTTACATCCACAGGGTTTCACTAAGTTGCTTAGGGCCTTGCTAAGTTGCTAAAGCTGGCTTCAAATTTGCAATCCTCCTGCCTTGGCTTCCAAGTTGCTGGGATTACAGGTGTACCCCACCATACCTGGCCACTTTCAATTTAAATGACTAATGAAATGCAACAAATAAAGAGACCCTAGAGATCATCAAGCCAGACACCCCAATTTTATAGATGAGAAACCAAGGTTCATAATGAAGTGACTTATCCAAGGTTGCAGAGGGAAAAAAGGGTTAAACTGGGACTCCTGCCTTTTGGCACACACAAAGATGATGTCTGGAATACAGAAAACAATAAGTATATGTGGTAGAATAAAGTGCTTTCTTTAAATTAAAAAAATTATTATTTAACATAAGTTAACATACTTAACATATTACTTAACATACCAGAATCTCAAAATTTACTATGCCTGCAGTCCCTAACTACATCAACATTGAATAATTACAGGGGAATAGGTAGAAGGGAGAAAAATATACTGAACACAGGGTCTTGTGCATGTTAATCTCTCTTGAAGTCCTTAAACATTTTCAATGCTCTCTGTACCTCCAGGAAGATTACTATCCTCCATACACACAGATTTTTATAAGGCTAATGGTCTCTTCTTGTAAACCAGGACACAAAAAGAGGCTTCTACTGCTAGTGGTGTTAAGAATCGCAGGCGGTAGCGCGCTCATCTGGCATGCGTGCGGCCCGGGTTCAATCCTCAGCACCACATATCAACAAAGATGTTGTGTCCGCCGAGAACTAAAAAATAAATATTAAAAATTCTCTCTCTCTCTCTCTCTCCTCTCTCACTCTCTCTTTAAAAGAATATTTAAAAAAAAAAGAATCAATTCTTAAATTAAAAAAGAGAGAGAGAGAGAGAGAGAACCAATTCTCTTTTTTTCCTTAAAATGCAATCTGAGCCCAACATAGAGGCATAGGCCTGTGGTATCAGGCAACATGATCATTTGAACCCAGGAGTTTGAGGCCAACCTGGGCAACACAGAGGACCCCATCTCATTGGAAAAAAAAAAAATGTAGCCTGATATTTTATTCAAATAATTTCAGGTGTGATGACCTATTTAGTTATGGAGAAAGAGCAGCTTGGATCTGAAAAACATGGAGTTTATTTCTGGCTCTGCTGTTTTTTGCAACAAAAAACAAGGCTTTCTCTTCAACTTCCTCTGAGTCACAGCTCTCTGCAGCCATAAAACACTAGCACTCTGACAGAGAGTGGGCTGACCATTTCCATCTCAAACACTCATGATTCTGTCAATCTTTAGGTAACTATCTACACATGGTTTTACAGAGACAATTTTTTTTTTTAAAAAAAGTGCTATTTGGTAAATCTACATTCACTGTATCAATTTAGTAGACATGTTGGTGGAAGGGAACATAGCAACCAGAGCGTAAATTATCTGGTTAGGTAGTCATTTTACCTACCATACTTACTAACATCAAGTATGTGGAGTATTATTATTTCACAATAAATCTTCAGAAAACAAAGAGGAATGAGAGTCTCCTTTTAGTAGATCTGCAGGGGAGGGCTAAGAACCTTAATTCTTGGAAACCTAGATGATTCTGATGCAGCGCCTAGGTGAGGAGCATTTGTAGCAGTGATTTTGTTATCACTGTGCTGACATTTAACTAATGTTCTAATATTTTTCATTCTTTCACAATTATAAATGGTCATGATTAATATGCATATGTTTTGAGTACACATAATATGCTCATCAAGAAGTGCGCTCCTTGAAGAAAAGCACCATAGTTTATCATTCTATTTGTTTTCCTGAGACCATTTAGCACTGGACTGGACATACAGTAGCTCTGAACGACTTTCAACATGCTATAGTTTATAGTTTGGATCTTTTGTGTCTCCCAAAGGTTCATATGCTAAAAGAACAGCCTGTGAGGTGGTGGAACTTTTAGAAGGTGGGGCCTAGTGGAAGCAAAACTATGTTACTGGGGGCATGCCCTTGGAGGTAGTATTGGAATCTCAGCCCCTTCACCTCTTTGTGACCTGCCTGCCATGAGATGAAGAGAATTCCTCTACCTTGCTCTCCCACCATGATGCACTGTGCTGTCACAGGCCCAAAGGCAACTGTGGGATTGAAACCTCTGAAACTGTAAGCCAAAATAAATATTATAAATTGATTACATCAGGCATTTTCTCACAGCAACAGAAAGTTAACTAACAGGATGTGAGTGAAATGTCTGGCAGGAAAAGTTTAGCTTTGAAAGGACCAGGCAAAGATGCTCTGTGGTCTTTCTTTAGAAGTGCACATGCAGGTACTCTGAAGAGCAGACCAAATGTAAAAAAGTAGGGCAGTATAAAATATAATCAGAAATATATGTTTCTCATACTGAACTTTTTGACAAAGGAAAAAAAAAAAGGATGAGGGAGAGGAAAATAAATACAGTACAGTACAGACACAGGATCTAACACTAGCCAAGCTCTCATGCACATGTTCTCTTTGTCCCAAGGGGGAAAAAAAAAAAGGTTATGTTTAATTTTTAGAAAGGAATTTTAGGAAAAACTCCAACTCACCTGGAACTTTGTCATATCTTCCTCTCAGGGAAATGCAGATTCCTGGAAAGGCAGAGAAAAATCCATAAAAACCAAGCCCAACTTGTAGGACACAGACTAGCCGGTCCAACACTGGAAAAAGTTACTCAGCTCTTGCTATCAGTCAATCCTTCCTCTCGCACTCCCTGCAGTTCTCTTATCCCTCTCTTCAGGGCTTTGGAACAAATAGGCCAAGTCTCCCATCAAAGCACGTGAGAGTAAGCAAATTCAAATTCGGTAGCTGTCTGCATCTGAAAGCCTTTTCCCTCAGACTTCCCAATTTCTGCCCTAAAGTTCTGGTTAGAGTAGGAGCTCTCAGGTTATATAGATCGCCTCTGAGATGGGATTTTGGATACATAAGACGCCATCCTTTTTCTCTGCAACCTGATTCATTTCTGGGGTACAGGGTTCTGATGTAACATTTTTTTCAGCGAGGAAAAAAGGTGCTGTGGAGCAGAAACCTGGGTCCCACAGGGAGCCCTTCTCGACTGCCTAATGTCCACAGAACAACTCCTTGGAAAAGGCCGATGTAGCCAACCACAAAGCTCCCAGGCAGGCCCAGGCCAAGTCTCAGCCACACGAGAGGAGGGGCCCTCAGGGGCCAGGCCTCCTTTGCGGTAGAGGCCTGGCCTCCGTGTGGCCTAGCCCAGGGGGCGCCACTGCTCGGAATGCGGCACCCAGACACACGTGCGGCCCTGAGTTGCCCTCCGCGGGTCGCACTCTCCTTCGGCTTCTCGCCCGGCTTCCGATCTTGGCGGCCCAGCACCTCACCAGAGGCCCACGACCCTGATCCGTGACACCTCTGCCTGCCACGAAGGCCGCCGGCCCCGTCTCACCTCCCACGTGAGATCCCACACCTGGCAACGCAGTGATCCGCAAACTGACCCGTGCCCTCGCCATGGGCCCCCAACTACAAGTCCCAGCGAACCGCGCGCGGGACAGCCCACTTCCGGCACCTACTTCCGGCGGCGCCCGAGATGAGAGCGTTTTGCGAAGAGCTGAGCAGTGGTGTAGGCGATTGTCCACGCTGCTGTTCACCTCTCCTTGCAAAGTGGTAAAGTTATCCTCCAGGCTTTTTCTTACAAACGCCTAAAAATTATTTTAGGAATACCTGTTATGATTTTTTTTATGTTAAAATTCCGCTGGGGGAGAAGGACGTAAATACCACCATTTAAAAAAAAATTCTGAAATTAATACTTACCACTCGATATCTTCTGTCTCAGTTCCGAAGTTCATTCATAGCAGGAGCTCTTCAAGATGTTACTCCCAAATCATTGCCCTTTCAGTGATTCTTGTTAAATTCTAGTGGGGGAAACAAGCAATTTAAATAGAAATAAATGACATAGTATGGTATAAGGTGATATGGAAAGATGTTATGGAAAAAATAGATTGATGAGGGGTGCTTGTGTGGTTATGTGTGGTTGATTTTATGTAGGCTACAATTGAAAGACTGAGAAGGTGAGAGGATTGGTCATGTGGCATTCAGCAGTCAGAACTCTCCTTCAACTACACAGATATGACTGTTTGTACGTATTTTTAAAAACATGCCATGTATGTGGGCCTGCAATTTGCTTTTTACAATTGAATAATATCAAATATTTACTAAGGGAAGCAGAAATCTTGCCTCAGAGACTCTTTTATTTGATATCTTCATAGGGAGGCACTATAATTCTACCAGGCTGCACCTCTCACTAAGTGACACAGAGCTGCCCGTTTGGCCTCTTTCAAATCTTTTTCAGATTTATTTGGGAGATCAGAAAGCTGCTTCCTGGGCGTCTCTTCTATACCCTTCTTCTTCTTCTATCAGTTTCCATTTGTTCCTGTAACAAATTTTCACAAATTGGTGTACACCACAACAAATTTATTATTTTGCAGTTCTGGAGGTCAGTAGTCTGATATAATTTTCACTGGGCTAATAGTGTCTATAGGGCTGGTTCCTTCTGGAAGCTTTAGAGGAAGAATTTTTGCCAATTTCCAGTGATTCAATGTATTCTTTGGCCTGTGGCCTCTTCCTATCTTCCAAGTACTGTAATCCAATTTGTTCTTCCTTCATGATATCACTTTCTCAGACACTGGTGACTCCTACATTTTTCTTACAATAAGTTGCAATTATATTGGACCCAACTGGATAATGCAGGAAAATCATTCTACATCAAGATGCTTAATTTTGGGGCTGGGGATGTGGCTCAAGCGATAACGTGCTGGCCTGGCATGAGCAGGGCGCTGGGTTCGATCCTCAGTACCACATAAAATAAAATAAAGATGTTATGTCCACCGAAAACTGAAAAATAAATATTGAGAAACTCTCTCTCTTTAAAAAAAAAATAGATGCTTAATTTAATCACATTTTGAAAATCCCTTTTGTCATATAAATTATAAATTAACATTCACAACTTCTAGGGATTAGGGCTTGGACACATTTGGGGAACCATTATATTCAGCCTATTGTAGGAGCATGAACCCATTTCCTGTCTGGGCTCCCCTTCAGAACTACTCTCCTACCTTTTGTCTGGGAACACAAAGTTATCTCTTTTTGACTCACCACTATTAATCTCTGATGGAAAATCATAGAGCTCTTCCCTAATCTTTTGATTGTATAACCCTTGCCTCACCCCTCACCCCTACCCCAATGTCCTCATATCCCTCTTTGCTGATATATTTTAGAGACCACTGACCATCATATGATCAGTCCTTTGTATATACCATTAACTGTCTTGCTCCGTCTCATTTTATTTCATTCTGATAAAACATAAAACCTAGTTGATTCCAACTCCCTGTCTGCTCTCTGCCTGTACTTGCATAGCAGATGTGGCCTAAGAAAAACACACAGCCCCTGAAAGTTCTTGCTTTCAATTTGTGACCAATTTATTTTCCTAAATGACTAATTCACAACTTCTCCTCCTCCTCCAAGTCTCCAACAACTCCTTTCTCCCACCTCACTGATAACTGATGAATTTGATTTCTCTGTTACTGAGAAAAGAGAATTTCTGTACCCAAGCACAAGCACATCTGCAGACCTCTCTGCACGGAACCTGTGTGCTCCACTTTGCATTCTGAATGAACTCTCTTTCTGGGTCCTGGATCTTATTCCTTTTCTCATGCATGATGACATTCACCTTTTTCTTCTGTCACCAGTTTTTCATTCTGTACGTATTTACCAGCATACTAATGAATATGCTGTGCTATCTGCTTTAAAATAAAATATTTTCCTCCCACCCTATTTCTCTTTAGCTACCACCCAATTTTGCTGCTTCCCCTTACAGCAGACCTCCTCAAAGAATTTTCTATAGATATTTCCAATTCCAATTTTCCTCTATTCCCTTAAACCTACTGCAGTTAGATGATTTTCCATTACCAGTCCAATGGAAAAGTCATCATTAACTTTCTTATATTTTTTTTTTTTAAAGAGAGAGTGAGAGAGAGAGGGGGATAGAGAGAGAGAATTTTAACATTTATTTATTTTTTCTTAGTTTTCAGCGGACACAACATCTTTGTTTGTATGTGATGCTGAGGATCGAACGCGGGCCGCACGCACACTAGGCGAGTGCGCTACCGCTTGAGCCACATCCCCAGCCCCCTCATCATTAACTTTCAACAGCATAGGTTCAAAATATATGAGTAAAACGTTTTAGCCTGGGGGTATAGATCAGTGGTAGAACACTTGCTTAGTAAGCATGAGGCTCTAGGTTCAATCCCTAGCCCCCAAACAAAACCCAAACTCAAATCAAAGAAACCACCACTTTCATTAACAGGAAAAATCTTTCCTAATACCTGAAAGTTGTGAATGTTAATTTATGTTAACTATCATAGTAGAGGATTTTTCTGGAACACACACTCTTACAGAAAAAAAAAAAAAAAAGTATCCAGCTGGGTGTGGTGGTGGAGCCTGTAATTCCAGCAGTTTGGAAGGCTGAGATAGGAGGATTATGAGTTCAAGACCAGCCTCAGCAAAAGTGAGGCACTAAGCAATTCAGTGAGACCCTATCTCTAAATAAAATACAAAATAGGACTGAGGTATGACTCAGTGGTTGAGTGCCCCAGTGTTCAATCCCCAGTACCAAAAAAAAAAAAGTATTAACAATAATATGCTTGGAATACAGAAAAACAATTAATATACTTGATTTAGAAGATCTAGAATAGTGAAGTCTAAAATTTAAAAAAAAATTGAACATTTTGAATATAAAAGTCACAAAGATTATTTCCATTAAATCTGGAACAAAATTTCAACAAGTATTTGGTTGATATTATACAGTAAAATTTCACAAAAGAAACTTCAGGCTGGATGTGATGGTGCACACTTGTAATTCTAGCTACTTAGCAGCCTTGGGGACTCTTAGTGAGTCCCATCATGTCCCAGAATATCTATGGCAGCTACTTAGTTTGAGGACAGTCTTGAAAAGTTAGTGAGACCCCTATCTCAAAATTAAACAAACATGCAGGAAGATGAGTTGGGGATGAAGCTCAGAATCCTGGATTCAGGATTCAATCCCCAGTACAGTGGGAGGGGAGAAACTTCAGGAGGCTGTGGTAGCTCAGTGGTAAAGCACTTTTCTACCATTTGCAAGCCTACCCCACAAAGGTGCCTTCTAGATGCTATCCCATGAATATGCTGCCCACATGGTTTCTGACATCATTCACCAAAGTACTGAACTTTGTTCTGTTGAGCCCAGAGAATCAAATACTACTTACACAGCCCAAACTAGTCTCAGATCCTGGGAAGGACATGGTGGTTTTCTAGGAAAGAACTACAGTTGGAGCAGAATCTATTTGTAATATTTAAACTATATATTGTATTTTTATACCAAAACAAATTAGAGCCTGTAAATTCTTTATATGTGGCTCTAATTCCCATTTTCCAGGAACCCAAGATTTTATGTCATCTGTATTATTTTGCTGTCTGTAATGTACAAATCCACCTAAGGATCTTGTCTTTCCAACTTTGGCTTGGTTTTATAGATGTGGGAAATTAAGGGAAAAATGCAATTCTCTTGAAGTTACTCAATGTATAAGGCCAAAACATTTCCTCTTTTGGGGACAGTCCTTTTTCTTCAAAATCTCTTCACCTAGAATAGACATGGGGTAGATGGGACAGAGGTCCATCCTAAAGGGAGGGAGATAAGGTCAGATAATAAACAAAAGGATAGGAAGAGAAACTGGTATTCACACCCTGATTAATAGGGTAATGGCATTTTTTGATTCTGCTGCCTGCTATGAAACAGCTGATTATTTGCAACAGGAAAAGGCCCATATATTCTTCCCATATTATAAGTGGAAAAACCAAGTCTTATGAGGAATAACCAGATAAAGCAAGAAAGTAGTAGAATCAATTATAAAGAACATGTGCTTTGGGATTTAACACACACACACACACACACACACACAGCCTTGAGAAGCATAGCCAGGCAGGTGCAGTGGCGCAGGCCTGTCATTCCAGCGACATGGGAGGCTGAGGCAGAAGGATTGCAAACTTCAGACCAGCCGAAGTGTAATAAGCAGCTGCCATAGATATTCTGGGACATGATGGGACCTACTAAGTTGCTGGCCATAAGGAACAGCAGCTGTTGAAGTGCTTAGTCATGTCTGCTTGCAACTGATAAGGTCTGGAAGGGGCATTAGCCATAGACATGCTTAGCAATGACCAATTACAATTGATAGGGGGCACAGCTCCATGGACATGAGCAAAGAACATGCCCAATCGCAATTACATCACTTCACTGGACATAAACAATAGGCATTGGGTGTAACCAATCACCAACATACACCACCAACTTGGAACTGTATTTTTAAATTGCTTGTCTTGTCCTGCCACATTGAAGAGTTTTTCTCCAAGGACATTGGTGAGACTGGCTGTCTTACTGTCCATCCTTGAACCACCTTCACCATTCCCTGACATCCAGCCATTGTCTGGAGAGAACCACTAGACAACGACAATGTCTA